TAACTTTATGTCACATTAACACAAAAATATTATTGTATCACTCATTATTACTTGGGGAAGGCAATTCTTTGTTTAATATCAATAATAATATACAAACAAAGATGATAATAATGATGATCTATTTTTTTGGAAAGAAAAAAATCAATCAATCATTATATAAATCAACTGTTAATATTATTTTTTTAAATAATAACAAACTTTAATATTAGGGGATGTCAGTTCGGTTTAGGTTCGGCTCAATCCAGTTTTAGAGTTCAAGCAAATTGAACTTTTTTAAAAAAAAACAGGCTTTTTCGCAATCAAACTCAACGTAATATAAAATATTCTCAAGCATGCTATTCAGAGTTAAATTTATTCCAACGGTTTTAGCTCCAAATCTGCTAACATATTATTTTTATAATGCTACGTTTCGACAATTCATATTTTAACGTATTTATATATATATACAATTATTCCAAGGATGCGGATGAATTTGCTTAAAATACCCTTTGATTGTGGTAATTCCAGTTTCTTTTGAGTACACTTTGGATAAGACTTGGGACAAAGTTTACAAATCCGTTTGTCATCAATTTCTTCGATAACTTTCAAATAGGATCAATTTTTCGTCGTTTTGGTGAGTGATTGATTTATCATTTGAGATATCATGTGCGATGATGTTGTTGTTTCATTTGAATCATCAAATGGTTCAAGCGTATCTTTCGGCATATTTTTATTTGGCGTAATATTATCATCCGTAAGGTTTGTATAATTATCAGTAGAAAAAAAACATATAGGTGGTATTATGTTCAATTTGTTCTTTGATCATGTTATAATTTATTAAGACGAAAATTATTATTGGATATAAATCAAATCCCGATGATCCACTTGCTAATGATGTTGCACAACATTGGAAAGAAAATGAAAAGGCAGCAATTGCAACAGGTAAACTTGCTAATTAATTATAAAATATATATGATTGAATATGATTGAAACATATTTCATGATTGATTTTCTTTTTAATGCTAAAATAAAATGAATAGCTCGAGAATGGACTAGAAATCATGCTCAAGGCTAAGTAAAGAAATTATTGTAAAATTTTTCTTTTAGCTTCAACTGGTGTTATTTATT